CAACGCGATATACTTTAATAATATTTTATTGTGTGGGAACTGATGCAAGGTCTTAAAAGCCTAAGCAACAAGAAAGCCGACGGTTTAGATAGGGCCTGCAACGAGCATCTCAGATGCACTGTTAAATGGAGTATGTAAAAATATATTCAATACATTTTGCCATACTTTTAACTCAGTGGAGAGATGCCACTGTGTCAGTGATCCCTGAAGGAAAAGGCAACTCAACAACCTTTAATATAAAAGGGGATTAGCAACAAAAAGCTGTTGTTATAAGCTCCTTTCCTTTTTTCTGCTATTTACTACCTAAAAAGTTTAAGCAACCAACGCAGTAGCACGGATTGTGTCACCTATGAATGTGCTTAACCTACTCACTACGATTCTACAGCAGAACAGAATAACCATTGATGACGAAGTTGCAGAACTTCCGCCTTTCACATAAACAACTGGCTTGAGACAACCTTAACCTACGTTTATTCTCAATATTGCTGAAGGGCCGTCCTGATCATATAAAAAGACGAAAAAGTTAGTTGAGGTCATATTATATGCAGACGACTTAAAGATATACTGGTCGTACAGGTTTAAGTGCAGCAAGCCCCAGCCTGGCCCACGTGGCATTTACAGACCTAACCTGACCAAGACAGAGACGATGAAATTTAGAAGGAGAGGCAGGACAGCGGTTATTAGCACTTTGTCTCGTCTGGTCGCCTCTGGTTTAGGTTAATCGGTTTTCATACTTAGAGTCGCACTTTTTCACAAACGGCAAAAGTTTCATTGCTCGTGTCACTGAAAGGTTCAAGAAAACAGTATTTGTCTCAGGGGCGATCAAATCGCCTTATCGATTACCGCTTTCAACCGTTGTTAGCTTGTTTGGCCCCAAAGTAGCCCCGATCGCATTTATGAGATGCGAGTCAGTCAGAAAAATCTTACTAACCTCGAACATCTAAATACTGTCAAAGTTCCTTTCGCCACACAAGCGCTGAGACTAGACATAAGAATCCGAAATCGCCTCGCATATTTCCTAGCCGGATTGTCATTGCCGTCCGAAAGCATACATCATCGCTTCGAGCTCTTAGCAACGGAGTTTTCGAGACCTTACTTTGGAATTATGGGAAAAAATTCGCGGAAATTAATGAATTTTTTTTGCGTCTGGTGCAATGGGGAACAACACGTGGAAAAGGGCAAACCGGCTAAACACACAAGGCGTCATTTGTTTTGTTGTGCATATTATCCACCGTAGATTCTGCATGAAACAAAATTTCCTTAAACCTGACGATCCATGTAGGGGCTCCAAATGCGGAAGAAATGGTGATAGGTCGTATCACTCGTAGTCCTTCAGTACATTTTTAGGATATCTACGAAGTTTTTCAAATTAGTTTAAGAAGATTCATATAGCCGATATGATGTAAAGTGTTTGAAATGGTTCTATATACTTATATTTGTATATATACGAATATTATGTTATTAATCTGGACACATGCAATTTTTGACCACTACCACCAAAAATGAATAAATAAAATTTGATGTGTTAATTTGCTCATTCAATTGAGCATGAATTTGGATGTACATTGGGCTTCTTGATTTGAGACCAACGCCCCTGAATTACCGTAATGACCAAACTGTCCCCGGAAAATGAGGACATTTTCAACACTCTGATATGCAAAATGACGATGCGAGCATTCTGCAGCAACCATTACTGAATGTTAAAAAGGTAGCGGAACAGACCATTCATGTAAGAATGAAGAACCAGCTTCGATGCTGTGCTAGTTGAACCGGACGAGAGGAAAGGAATCTACGAAATTTAGGTAATCAGAAGCAAATAACCGTGATAACTTTGCCTTCAGGTCTTACATCGATTTATCGCTATGCGGTTACGGGAAGTGACTGAACCATACTGAACAGTCGGATCAATAATTATACTAACGAAAATCATACCTGAGTAGGTTAGTGGGTGATATAGTTTTTTAGACGAGAACATGACCCCATTCGCGAAGATTGTTACGAGCGGGCAGGGTAGATCGTTCATATTGATTTCCGATTTGCGAATACTGACAGCGAAAATCTTGAATGCAGAGTGGGTTTTTGAGAACCATCGGAAAATTTATGAACGTTTATTGCGCCGATGTTTATACTACTGCAACTACTACGCAATAATAATAAGCAGCTTCGGGTCGCACTGAATGAATGAACAGCCGCCCGAGGAAGCTCACGCATGCACGAAATGAACATTCAGTGACGGTTGAGTAGCTTCTTGATATTTTTGGGTCATGGCATATTGGTAATCGCTCCAGCTTTGTCAAAATTTAAGTGATGACCGTCTTTATCATGGACGACGCTTAAATACTTTTAACTTGCATATGCACATTTTTCCAAATTCAAGCAGAGTTCGTACCTAGCTATCCGTTCTGACAACGTTAGTACGAGTGCTAACATACAGTGTGTCGTCTAAATAGGCGGTGGTGCCCGATAGTCCTGCAATTAATAAAAAACGGTTTGCTAGAAAATACCCAGTGCAAGGATAGCTTGCTACAGCAATACAGGTCTTTTGGATTGTTGATTCTCAACAGGTTCCGGAAATCCTTTCCAACCTTAGTTTGCGAATACTTCTCACGTAAAAAGGACAATATTTGCATTGCAATTGTCTTTTTCATAAAAATGAATTTCTAACTTGAATTGGAGTTCTAATTATGTAAGCTGCTGTAAGACTACGTATTGGACGACATACTATGAAGCTTTGTTGTAAGAATAAGCAAATGGATGACTATATAGGGTGATAATGAGTTGCTCTACGTACAATTAATACAGAAAAGAACTAGATGTGTTTATAGTTATTTATGTACAAAAAAGAACAGCAATAATTTAGTGTGTTTATTATTTTATAATAACAGCCTCAGATCACTGGTTATTTCGTCATATAAGGGTCTATTCATGCCAGAAAACTTGACAAAAATGATAAACGAATTACTCATATGTCAATGTTACGCGTGTATATGCTTATGTCATGTAGTCTAGCGCCTGTATTTTTACTTCTGACATCGAAACGAAACTCTCTTTTTGATGCCCTTCTCTCGCTTCATCTTTCCATGATAGATGGACTGCTTAGGCATTCTATGCTGATAGTAATTGCGTGAATTGTTTTTTGAACGCCCCACACGAGTTTTATCTGTCCTGGACTCAGCTCGTGGGAATCTTCACTTTGCTTCTTCATTTACAAACTCGTGACACATGCTTCAAATAGTCTTATACTGAGTCAAATATAAACCCATTGTCCGTGCCGGTTTGCTCAAAGCTTCCGTAGTTACAGTAACTTGCACTTCCATTTTAAGTCTTGGACTATGGTGGGCTCCTCTGTGACGTATTTCCCAAACCTTTTTTAATAATAATGCATGATTTGAAAGTTGAGTAAAATTTTTGATCTGCTTAGTAATCGTGAACAAACGATTTAGCTATTTATGTTTCGAAAACGGCACCTCGAAAAGGAAAGCTACGGTGTCATGATCTGTATTAATCGTATGAACCTAAGTACTCTACTTGATTATTTTGTAAGCAGGGTGAACAGTTCCGCTCTATCTCTCAATTTTACAGCCCTGGGTTGTCCAAGACAAGGGGATGTAAGTCAAAGACTTGGAGACAATGGGATCCGTTAAAAGCTAACCTTAACACCACGTCTCCCGAAGTTGGCGAAAAGAACGGTCAGTGAGGCGATTGGAAATGCGGCATCCGTTGTGAGTGCAGACCTATTGGAGACATTTATAGTTCAGCTGTTAACTAGATTTTTAAGGGAAGGAACACCACACCCAGCCAAATATATTATAGCACTAGGCGCTGTCTCGAAAGGTAGGCGAGAGCCTTTCTTATCTTTCCCAGATAGTTCCCAGATAGGCTCGAGTTCGCACTATGAAGAATTTTTAAAGGGCGTCAAGTGGTTTATCAACCAGATAGTTTTGAAGGACAGCTCTCAAAGCCTACATGACCAGTTTTCCTGTTCTTTCAACTACCGCAAATAAGAGCTCTGTGGAGCTACGGTCGACATTGGCAACTGGCTTTACCAAGGTCGGGATCGGCTTGGTTCAAAGGGGAACCAAACAGCTGCAATAACTGACAACACCTGAAAATCAGGTGTTCCACATAAAAGTTCAGAATACTGTGCATGAGCATAGCACGTACTGGCGGGATCGTTTCTAAAGCGAAACATTCTACGGTGGTTGCTGCCGATTTGTGCAGCTGTGGGGTTGAGGATGTCGAAAGAGTGCATGGGATATGCAAATATCAGGGTACTCGAGAGGGGTACTCGGGTACTTTCGTGTTGGTTCTAGAATGTACTGGTTGGTTAAAAAAAATGGTAGATCCATGTGGCTGGAGGTATGCAGAGCTTGATATCTATGTACAAGATATAAAAAAGCTGAGGCATTTGTGACAGCGAAAATGAGTCCAACAACCAAAAACGAAAACTCTGTGTAGAAGACATGTGAAGTAAGATTTCGTGGATTTTGCGCAATACAAGTGATCAGATAACCACATCATAAGAGATCTGGCCCGCATGTCGCAGAGTAATACAAACCATGTTAAGACGCATGTGTGCATTACGATGCATCTCAGTAATATGTTGATTCTTAGGCATGTCTGTCACTCCTGAATTAGAACACAGCACTGCTGCTCGAATAAATCGCATTTCTGCAAAGGGTCGTGCTATAACAGTAAAATATAAAGAGTGTTAAATTTAAACAAAATTAAAAAAATGAAGTATGAAGTGCACCACAAACAGGGTGTGCATACGCATATTTTTAAATACGTCTCTCAGGTACGAGTCCTGAGCAATCCTTTTGCATCAGGAAAAAATGAGATAGCTAAACGTGATATGTGTGTCTTTGAGCTTATATTAAATAATATCTACCTAAAATATGTACATGAAATGTGTTGTTGTTGTTGTCCTAATGAATAAGTTGTTTCTCCCAATTGTTTCTTCTACTATTACGTATCGTTAAATTTATCGCCCGTCGTAGTTCGTCCTTTATCTGTATGGATCGAAGGAGAGCAGCGTCCACTTTCAGCTGGGAAAGCGGTTACATTGGAATGTCGATCTTCCGGCTCACGACCACCAGCTCTTATTGAATGGTGGAAAGGCGGGATTCGTATGAATTCTACGTCACACAATGACACTAGTGTCCTAACATTTGTGCCCACTGCCGAGGACTCTGGGAAGCATCTATCATGCCGAGCAGAAAACTCATTCATAAGCAACAGCCGGATTGAAGATGGATGGAAAATTGAAGTGTACTGTAAGTATTAGTTGATATGTTATGACCGGAATGGAATGAATTTTTTTTTACCAAAGTTGAGCAATAACAAATAGAGCAGATGAAAACATGGCGAATTGAGCTTTAAATCGAAATCCGAAAACGAAATCGTTAATGTTAGCTGATGTGAATATTATTTTTTAATAGAATTTACTATCGCCACATTTATATTATAGAAAAATATAATAAAAAAACGGACAAGATTAAAACAATACATACTTAACGTATGCCAAAAAGTTAATCGCCGATCTATTGTATTTTTTATAACTGTACTTATTTTACAACAGGAAGGTCAATGGCTTGGGGTGACCCGGATCGGGTCTGAACTATTTAAAATAAAATTTCGGGGGGTTTTAATGTGTGATAGCATTACGTCAAAAAAAGTCTGAGCCTCCTGGACGACAACAAGTTTTCGTTGAGTAGACCCTTAAATTTCCGTTTTTCACCCGTTTGAACTTATGTTGCCTACTTCAGATATTCCTATTCTTACTCTTCGTTTGGGAAGCAAGCTCAGGCACCAACACATCCAAGAGGGCAACGACGTGTTCTTTGAATGCGACATTCGAGCTAACCCGTTAGTCAATGATATTGGCTGGCGTTTTGAAGGTAGGAATTTCTTTTCTGTTTCCTAAGTTGCATCCCCGTAAAGAATTTTGCCCCCTTCAGCAATATATAATTCTCGTTTTACAGTTCTAGACATAGGATGATTAAAGAATTTTGTAAACATATTAGGAAGTTTTTCATCTTTAATAGTAAACCATTCATCCCTAGCAATATTCTGTGCTTGTTTTTCTGCAAGAGAGCAGATTTCGTAACACGCCGCCGAAATAGCCGGTGGTGTTTTTTTCATCATCAAAAATTCATAGAAAGATAATGTTCTTCTTTACGTTTACCATTATTCAGTAACGCATATTCCATGGATACGCTCCTAAAGGTTTACAAACATCAAGAGTTATTTGAGCGTAAGATTTTCACAAGGTTCATTTTACTCAAGAACTCAATACAACATTATTGATTATAGTAAAAGTGTTTTCTGCAAAGACTTCCAAATATAATCGTATCTGAATCAGTGATTACCTATAGGATATTAATAGGATGAATAGGCATATTCATTCAACACGAAATATTATTATATAAATCCATATCGGTAATAATAAGTGCTTACAAGTGTGGCCTACGTCTACAGGAAAAGAAGTTAACACTAATACGTCAGCAGGGGTGATCGTGAGCAATCAAAGCCTCGTTCTTCAAAAAGTGGATTTGCGCAATCGGGGAAGGTATACCTGTACAGCGGCTAATGCTCAAGGTATTGGAGAGAGCAATGCCGTCGTGCTAAAAGTTCGATGTAAGTTTCTATTTTCGTTCATCACAATGTGAATATGCGGGTCTTCCTTATGTACAGCAAAATAACTTACAGACCTTTTATTAGCCGTCCATATTCGCTTATAGTTGGAACATATAAGGAACATTACTTTGATACGTTCATGTAGCCTTGCACACTCAGATAAAATTTTAACAAACAAAGAATAACATAATTTTGAAACATGTAAAAAGTTCACATAGTATACTGATTATATGGTCTTCAAAAAATAATCGTCCGTGGGATTGGAAAGCATTTACTTTTATTTTCTTCATAAAATGTTTTTATTTATTGAATTTGCACTAGTCTATTTTTAGTATTTTCTCCTTTACGTAGGAACAACAGCGCCACACCAACGTCAGTCGAAACTAACCACTAAGTTTCCAAATATTTCCAAAGTAATTTATTCACTTGAAATACTCTAGCATTATAAATAAGATACTCCGAAATTATGATAGGTTTAACACCAGCATGGTACGGCCTCGTGATTGCTTTATATTTGCATTTTTTCAAAATGCCTGGAACATTCTATCACCCATCATATTTTTGCTAATCAGATGTACTTCATTACCACTTACTTTTGCGCGAATCTTTAAGTGTATAAATGGGAAACATCACGTAATTTTTGCATTTTTTTCTGTGGCAGGATTTATGCGCACAAATATACTTCTAGCGTTGGATGTATTACTTAGGCTTTCTCTGTTCTGTGGCAAAGGCTTACGCACGCGTCTTCTCCACTTAGAGAGCGCTCACAGTTTACCACCTATTGTAGTACATTATATGTACTATTAGATATCTTTTGATGCGTTTATTGGAATTACTGAGCTGTTGTTTCTTTCTTAGCACTTTTTCCTTCTATGCGGTAATAGAATATTTGTATTGCAGTAAATATTGGGTGACGTTTAAAGTGTTTATGCGTGATATATTTTTTTATATTCCTGGGGGTTCGTGTACGTACCATGGTAATGGATTTTGTGTGCGAGTAATTTTGTTTTTCTAAGGCTATAATTAATTCAGTAAATATTCTAGTTAGCTGTTCAGAGGTAAGTACTGCTACGAACTTTCGAACTGTTCTTCTATGTGTTGCAATGATCCGCTTTGATCATACTCAAATTTTGTGGGAAACCAAAAAATATACTTGTTTCAATCAATAAGTGTCCAGTTTTTTAGTTTTGTCTAACAATTTTCTAGGAAGTCTTGTTTATCGGGCTGCTAGCCTACTAACTAGATTAATGTATTGTGGGTTCGGAAACAGTGTAGTCAGGTTGCCAGGTTGGTTCGCCGAATGCTAAAGTACATTGTAAATTGATGCTACTATTTATCTCGGGGTAGCCACCATAATTCACCTGATGCAGTTCTCGTAATATCTCTAAAGGTTTTCGAATCTTCCAAATTCTCCATATTCTGGGAAATATTAGACTGTGTAAGGCCACTTTGAAGTTGAATTACCCTTAAATGAGACTAGAACGATGACTTAGTATGCGTTTCAGGTCTTTTACTTCATTTTCTACACACTTGTCCCAGTGTTTTTGGACGGCTATATATCTACCATTCTCATTCCTATATGAAATTCCTCTATCTATGGCTTTTTAAACTGAATCGATAGCAAGATATGCTTGGCCACTAGTTGCCTGTATAGAGAGCTTTATACTTACATGGACTTAGATCGAGTGAACAAGCAGATCGAAGAAAACGACGCATATTCCTCTACCCAGTACAATTAAGGCATGGTGAATAGGTCTGGCTTTGTCATCAAGTAACCAGGCTATGTGTTTTTCACTGCCATGAGTTTCTTGAGGAATTTGAAATAGTGCCAGCTGTCATTGCGTTGTTTTCGGCGAATATCTCATAGTATCAAACGTCCCTAATGCTCATTGCTAGTAGTATGCTTACTTACGCGACTACTATAGGAACTATTTCTCTTTAGAGCGACGTCATTCCCTCACTTTGTTTTTCTTCGACTTGTGGTAAAGACCGAACCATGTTTCCTTAAGGTGACCGCATGCTCCAAACATACTTTTCTTTGAGTTCTACAAAATCGCACGTAAAATACACCATATTCAATCCATGGAGAATGATTTTTTACTCAGTTTCCTTACTTTTAGCATTTTAATTTGAATTCTGTAACACGCTGAATATGTAATACCAGTATTGACCGACAAAACCCTTATACTTCAAACTCTGCTTCCGTGAAAAGGCCCTTCGATTGCGGAAATGCGTTCTTGTGTTTCGGATCCGCTTTTCTCCTCTCTGGTCTTCAGCATTCCAGTCTCCAATATGGAAACGTTCTCATAATTCACGTAGCGTCAGCTTAAAGCCTCCTCTAATATCTTCACCAACCTTTGATGACTTTACACAGATTGTATGGCCTTCGAGAAAAAAAAATTTCAGTTAGCGTTCATCTTCAAGACAAAGAGATGTATTTCGTTTTCAGCTAATTTATCTTTAAACTCAATCGGTTTTCACTCATATTTTCTGTAAACCTGTAGTATATACCAGCCGACTTTGTGTATTAGCCGACACGTAATTATCTAATTTCCACTGGATTCAGCTATAATAGCCTAACAGTGTTTTTAGTACAACTGGAACATTACGCTGCATATGGCTTTCTTCCGCTGTCAGATTAGCCGTTTTGTTCATTTCTTCCAGGCATCAAAGTGCTCTTGCAATTCAGATCTTAACTCGCTCATACGTTTCTGCTAGGTCAATAATGCAGGCAATGTGATATTCAAATATTTTGCTTGATTTGCATTCTTAGTTGTGAGGCAGTCACACGAATGTATTGATCGTTTTTCTAAAGTTTAGTTTTTTGTCTTTCTACGAACCTGTTCATTTTATGACAGGACATCGTATTTTTTTTTATCTGTTCAAATGTCTCTTGACTTGTAAACAGGTTATTAATGTATGTCGCGTTATTGATGTTGCACTTTCTTGAGGAGCGCCCTAACCAAGACGGCATATTTTTAACATTTTCCTCTTTAATATTTTTTTTTATCAAGATATAATTCGAGAACCCACAGGGCTGCGCCACAAACCCTTATTCTGTCAAATTCGTTGAGGAACCATCTTTTTAGCATTGCGTTAAAAACATGTAAATCTGAAAAAACGACAACTGCAATTGCAGTTTTCTTTGCAGGTTCTGAAATTTTCGGTTATTGGAAGAACTGCTTTTGTAATGTCTAAATTGTTATACTATCAGACGCTTGATAAATTTGTTGATGATGGTTAGGCAGGAAATAAGTTGGTACTGTAAGTGATTTTCAAGCCGACCGTGCGCACTTCACAGTATTATCCGAAAGGAATACCAGAGCCGAACAGTAAGGCACCTCAGGCAAAGACTTCCGCAAAAAAATGTTTGAAGGCTGCCGCTTTTTGTACGTCATGCTGTGATCTAGCCCCTAGTGAAAATGAGCTTTCGCAGATATCGTGCAATTTTTCCGTATACGAATACGTTTTTTAATGGTATTGATGGCTCGTTACTCCAACGAGACGCTTTCCCGTTTTTAAGCTTTTAATAAGAATTTTTAGCTTTTCTAGATTTGGATCAACAAATCAGTTTTCTCAGCTCCTAGTGAATAATTAGATATTAGGTTTTCATGTTTGATCCACGCTTATTATATCTGCAGGACTTTTCTTCGGTGGCTGAGAAATAACAGTAACACTGCATTGCTTTTGCTGTAACTAATTCGATTACAATATAATGACATAGTTTGGTTTTTAACTTCACGTGCAGCACGTATAAAGTGCCTTTCGAATTGAGAGGATGCGGCAAAAGTCAATTGACAATTTGAATCTTTAGTTTACATCGGGGGTGTACATTTTACACGCATGGCAAAGTAGTAGATGCTGTAAATACGTAAGTAAAAAAAAGAAACTGTCTAAAAACAATTTGAAAAAAAAGGGTTTTGCTCCACCCTGTACATATATACATTTACCAAAATCGTATAATTTCCTCAACTTCGTTTCTGTGCTATCCATGTTTGTTATAGCAGACAAATAATCAGTGTACTAATGACGCAGTCCAGTTTTCGTTTCCTGGATTCTGGTATATTTTTAAATATCCAAGGTTTTAATGTTATGTATTCTACAGCTAGATGCCTTCCACAACTTCTTACTTTATAATTGATGTTGCTGTCACAGTCCTTTTCTCCCAAAAGATTCGTCATATAGCTATTAAATTTAATAATAGTATTTTATTTTCCTTATTATTTATTCATATTTCATTACACAAATTGTGTGCCAGTCCGGAAAAGCCTGGACATCATAAGGGACGTATCGCCTCTTCTCAGTTTTTACAAGCAAAACAAGTATTTTCTTAGCGCAAAATAGCAGAGATTTAGGGGATTCATAAAGCATGGATTTATCCAAAAAGCCTAACAGTTTTAAGTTCCATCACAGACCCACACATTTCCGTATCCAAAAACGTCCTACTTCAGTCCCATCATAAGCAGACAATTGTACAAGAGGAGCGCTAAAGTATCAAACTGAACTTCTCAGCTTCAACTTCCAAGAATGCTTTTTATGTTCATTAGGCTTTCGCTACATTATTTTTGGGAGATTTTGTTTTGAGTGCCAAACGTTTAGTACACGTAACATCTTTGACTCATACATTTTTGTGCTAATACGAAACACAATATGTTAGACTGTGTTTAAATGATGCATAGAAAAAAGTACGTGTATCCTATTGTATCAGACTGCCTATATTGTAGAAAAATACACAATTGCATAGCGCAATTTAACATGAAACTACTTTGGGATGTCGATTTGAGAATGTTATAAATTGCCATTTACATTGGGTTCGGTTGCAGTTTTGAAAGTTTCATGGTATTTGATGCTAGTCTCCTTATTTTTAGTCTAGAAAAACATCAAATAAAGTTAGAGTAAACTAATGTAATGATGTACTTTAATCAGTACCAAAACATCTTCATTGACTGAAGTTGATTTTAGTTTTCTATTGTAATACAACTTAGTGCATAGTTAATTTA